GGATTTTTTCTTTCTTCTCCATCAATCTAAAACTCATGTTTTTGCTATGACAAATGGTTAAAAACCTAACTTTTCCCAAAAGATTGTCCTAACCCACTATTTCACAGATCTTTCTCTTTGAATTTCTTTTTTTTTTTTTAAAGATTTTATTTATTTATTTGAGAGAGAGAGAATGAGAGAGAGCACATGAGAGGGGGGAGGGTCAGAGGGAGAAGCAGACTCCCTGCCGAGCAGGGAGCCCGATGCGGGACTCGATCCAGGGACTCCAGGATCATGACCTGAGCCGAAGGCAGTCGCTTAACCAACTGAGCCACCCAGGCGCCCTCTCTTTGAATTTCTAAGTCTCCATGGCATGTATGTTTTCTAATCATATACCCTGTTAGCTAAATGAGAATGAGATATTCATTCCTATTAATTTTGTGTTATTTAAAATCTATTTCTGGATTAATAAATTAATTCTGTTTGTTGGGCATTTTTGTGTATTTGATTTTTTTTTTTTCTCCTAATTCATGGTGTTGATCTTCCTCAGATGTTTGCTGCTCATTAGTTGTGTGTTTTAGTTTCAGAACAGAATTCTCCCATTTGCATTCTGGGCTGTGTGACCTGCCTTGTGGGCTATGACATCCTATTTGGGTCCTTAGCTTATTGCTGTTATGGTAAATTTCAGTTGGATACCTTCAAAAAAATGTTGCACAAGTTCAGTGCCTCTGAAAAATCCTCTTTATTTTGGTCAAGACTATATGCTCATTAACCAGTTTTTACATTTCTTTTCTTGTAATTTTTGTAGATGGGAGATGGCAAGCAGTGATTTCAGTGTGTGACCCATCTGCCATTTTTTTAGTGAAATTTTCCACTGTATACTTTATGTTATCTTCCACATACTTGACAAGGATTATATTTTCATCATCTTGGCTTTCACAGTAGCTAAAAGAGTATCTTAAATGTAGTAAATGCTCAATGAATGTTTTTTGAATGATCTAATTAAGTATCATAGTTCTAACTCATGGTTTAATTCTGACATCTTGGAAATATAGTTTTAAACTGAAATGAAACCACAACATCCCCTTGGATCTAGAATATGAGAAAATTTTCATAACCAGAGATAAATTTGGGAATTAAGATTTACTTCAGAGAAAACTGTAGTTTTTGATTCAATCTAAATTTCTATAGCTTTTCAGCTCCATTCAAAGCTCCATTTTGCTCCATTCAAAAAAAAAAAAAGGATTTATAAAGACTAATGTTTTTTAGGTATTGTTCTGGATGCTGAGTTTATAGAAATAAACAAAATGAAAAAATATCCCATCATCAAGGAGTTCATATGTGTTAGAGCACTGAGATGTTTTCAAGGAGGCAAGTATAGCTGGAACAGGAGTGACAAGAACAATACCAGGACGGTGGGGGCAGAGAGGTTGTGAGGGGAAGATTGGGTAGAAACTTTAAGGCCATTGTGAAGATTTTGGGTTTCAATCTGAGCTATATGGGAGACCAGAAGAAGGTTTCAATAGGGGAATGATGTAATTTTACTTCTATTTTAGCAATATTGCTCTGGCTATGTAGAGGCCAGCCTGCCATGTAGATATTAGCCTGGAAGCGGTAAGAGTAGAAGCCTGGAATCCAGTTAGGGTGTCATTGTCATTATACAGGTAAGAAGGCTTGGTTCAGGAGCAATAGTAATAAAAGTGGTAAGAAGTGGGCAGATTCTGGGCTACTCACAGAAACATGAAGGATGAAAGGAGGAACAGGTTTTGGAAAAAGATCAGTACGTGCTTGTTAAATGTCCCCAAAGTAATATATTTTATTAACTGAAACCATAAGGGTAAAGGAGAGTGTTCTAAAATTCCTATAACCACAAGAAGATGTCTCTCTCCCATTTCAGGAGGCATTTCAATTTCCAAGGCTTTATTAGAATGGAATGATTGCTAGAAGGACAAGTGCTTTGAATGATATTGTTGCCTAGTGCCTCTATGCAGTGGCCATCACCTTCATTTACTTTTACACCCCCTATAGCAGTCATTCTCAAACTTTTTGGTCTCAGAACACTTTTACCATCTCAGAAATTATTGAGGACTCTGGGTCCAACAAGGAGTCAGAAACCACACAGTATTTTCAATAGTGGAGGTTCAATAATTAGGTAATAATTAGGTTCAATAATCAGGTAAATAATTATTATCAAGCTTTTATAGTAGAATAAATATAAAGATGGAAAGGTAACTCAGAAGGGTACCTTGGGGCTGAGAGGGAGTTCCTGAAAAAAAGGACAAATTTGAAAAGGGAATCCTGTCCTCAGGGTTGGGGCTCGGACCTTGTTGAAGAAGGTCTGAACAGCCGACTAGATGGTAGAAAATTTTGCTGAGTTGCCTGGAAGAGCTGGTCCAGAGTCACTGGACAAGGGGTAAGAACCTGAGGAACAAGTGAGCTGAAGTTAGTAGCCAGGCTCCTAGAGGGACTCAGAGCATCACTGCAAGAACTGCGGAAAACAGGGGCTGGCCAGACCTCCTTCTTTACAAACCTAGAATACTCTGTGCATGGCCTGGGCTGTGTGGGATGAAGGTAGGGTGGTCTGCTCCTTAAATGGCAGCCTGATGGGACCTCTGGCATGCACACGTATGTGCAGAACTGAAGAGAGAATGCAAGGAGCAGTGATCTAGGCTGGGCTGCAGATGCTGCAGTGTCTGGGGGTCCTAGCTACACCATTGCTCCCTAACGCTGAAAGCCGCAGAAAGCATGTTCTCCACAAGTCTGGCAATGAAGCCACACCAGAAGCAGGAAGGAAAACCTCCTCCACCTCTAGTGTCACTCCAGTGTTCTCATAGACCAAGCTTCACTTCCCACTGACTGGCAAATGGGAAATATTTAGAGGGAACAACTCCATTATCACAGAGAAGGCAAAAAGAATGAATTTGGAGCTGAGAGACCATAAAGTGATACCTGGCACAAAGACCCAAAGGAGTTTTGTTTATGTGGGTTAAATCTAGTATAAATTAAAACTGTAAAATTTTTAAAATATTTTTATTAACTTATTTAAATTGGTAATAAAAAATCCACTTCATGTTTACATATAAACATATTTTTTATGAAAAAATATTTTAAAAATATAGAGAGAAGGGTAACATTGTTTGACATTTTGCAGATTTCTTTGATGTCTGCTTTGAAAGAAGACAATTGGATTCTTATATCTGCTTCTGCATTCAATCTATTACAATATGTTGTTTTGGTTGTAGTATATTGAAAAAAATCAAATTCACCCTCATAAAAATACGTAGTTAGAAAATGGAAGAATATTTAATAGTCTTTTCATATGATCATGGATAGTTTTCTTTGATATAACACCAAAAATTGTTAAGAGGTAGTTTCTTAAATATTGATTACACTGCAAAACCTGAAACCATATCAATGAAGCTTTCACATTCTATTGCACTAATATTCATTGATCAATCTTGCAATCTGAATGAATGTTACCAATACATGATTTTACAACAATGTGTTGATCATTTGGTAAATACAGGTTCATTGATTTTTGCACATCTATTATTGACATGTTTCATTACATAATATTAAAAAATCACACTCATTAATAGCACCTTTGATCTCACCAAAAAAGTCTTTAAATATTATGAAGCTGACAAGCACATAGTGGCAGATAAAAGTTTTCCAAAATTTTAATTTTCTCTTGAAAACTCAATTTGTTTTTTCCCTTAGCATCATGTATTGTCAGTTGCTTTAGTCACTTGTTTATTTTTTTTTAAGATTTTTTATTTATTTATTTGACAGAGAGAGACACAGCAAGAGAGGGAACACAAGCAGGGGGAGTGGGAGAGGGAGAAGCAGGCTTCCCGCTGAGCAGGAAGCCCGAAGCGGGGCTCGATCCCAGGACCCCGGGATCATGACCTGAGCCCAAGGAAGACGCTTAATGACTGAGCCGCCCAGGCACCCTGCCACTTGTTTATTTTTGAGAAAATAACTAACGAATACCCAAATACCAGTTTGTCATTCTTTTAAGGAAAAATGATATTTCATGAAGTTTTTAATTCAGTTCACAACTTAATCACACAAGGGCTTTCCTTTAGGCAACCATCGTACTCAGTATGCTACAGAAGTACCGTATGCACACTTTTCATTTGGTCATACACTATATTAGAAATAGGTACTCAAAAGCTGATATTTAATAAAACTAGTAGTTTTTAGTAATTTATAACTGAAGACATTTATAACTGAAATTGCCATTGTATTACTGCCAAATTGTAGCAGTCACTACTGCAGTCTTTTTTTTTTTTTTTTTTTACTACTGCAGTCTTACTTAACTATTAGTATATGCCTTGAATCCTGTTAAGGCACCAGCAATTTTACCCACGATTGCTTTTAGCCATCATTTCTTTTCTTCATAATTTCTTTTCTGTACTCCCATAGATCTTTCAGTGTACTTCTTTTAGTGCATGTAGCTTACTCACCCTTGAATTATGACTAATTATGTTTCTGTCTCTGCCATATTCCCAAGCTCCCAGAAGTCAGGATTTATATTTGATTTTACTCCATGCTCCACCCCAATCACCCCAGTGATTTCCATCTAGTAGTAGTATAATAAGTACTGGTTGAATGGGTAAATAAACAGATTTTTTTTTGTCCTAAACAGGAGACAATATATATTACAATTTTGTTGATGATCATTCCCACCAAGTCCTTCTGTACTTAAGCTATCTACAGTGTCGTATTGTGATAGGTGTGTGCATTATAATTTATATTTACCAATGCACAGGAATAATCATTTGCCTTACAGGAATATATACATGTGTGTGATTTTATTTTAATTATTGATTTACTCCTCTGTATCTTTTATGATAGAGTTCCTTGTGGACAAGGAATATGTCTTATGAAAGTTTAGTGTCTAGCATGGTATCTTGTATGTATGAGTCATTCAGAAATTGATTGCTGATGAATAAATAAATAGCTATTTTTTTAATAAAAAACTTATTCACCCATAAAAAAAGAAGGCAATAGAGTCCGAGTGGGGCGGGCGAGCTGAGTGGTTGTGTGGTCGCTTCTTGGAGACCGGTAGCACTTGCAGCATGGCTGACCAGTTAACTGGCTGAAGAGCAGATTGCAGAATTCAAAGAAGCTTTTTCACTATTTGACAAGGATGGTGATTGAACTATAACAACAAAGGAATTGGGAACTGTAATGAGGTCTTTTGGGCAAAATCCCACAGAAGCAGAGTTACAGGACATGATTAATGAAGTAGATGCTGATGGTAATGGCACAATTGACTTCCCGCAATTTCTGACAATGATGGCAAGAAAAATGAAAGACACAGACAGTGAAGAAGAAATTAGAGAAGCATTCCATGTGTTTGATAAGGATGGCACTGGCTTTATTAGTGCAGCAGAGTTTTGCCATGGGATGACAAATCTGGGAGAGAAGTTAACAGATGAAGAGGTTGATGAAATGATCAGGGAAGCAGGATATTGATGGTGAAGGTCAAGTGAACTATGAAGGGTTTGTACAAATGATGACAGCAAAGTGAAGACATTGTACAGAATGTGTTAAATTTCTTGTACAAAATTGTTTATTTGCCTTTTCTTTGTTTGTAACTTATCTGTAAAAGGTTCCCCCCTGCTGTCAAAAAATATGCATGTATAGTAATTAGGACTTCATTCCTCCATGTTTTCTTCCCTTATCTTACTGTCATTGTCCTGAAACCTTATTTTAGAAAATTGATCAAGTAACATGTTGCACGTGGCTTACTTTTGATATATCTAAGCCCTTCTGCACATCTAAACTTATCAATGAGGTCAAATGAGGGAACATCTGGATTATGCCTTTTCTTTAAGTGGTTTTTTTTAGGAACTGTCAGCATGTTGTTGAAGTGTGGAGTTGTAACTCTGCATGGACTATAGACAGTCAACAATATGTACTTAAAAGTTGCACTATTGCAAAATGGGTGTATTATCTAGGTACTCATACACTATTTTTTTGTACTGCTGGTCCTGTACCAGAAACATTTTATTTTATTGTTACTTGCTTTTTAAACTTTGTTTAGCCACTTAAAGAAAATCTGCTTATGGCACAATTTGCCTATGGCACGATTTGCCTCAAATCCATTCCAAGTTGTATATTTGTTTTCCAATAAAAAAAATTACAATTAAAAAAAAAGAGGCAATAAATGATGCTGGAACAACTAGGAAATCACATGAAAAAAGTTATCTAAACACAGACCTTACACACTTCACAAAAATTAACTCCAAATGGATCCTAGGCCTGCATGCAAAATGCACAACCATAGAACTCCTAGAAGAGAACATAGGAGAAAACCTAGATGACCTTGCATTTGGTGATGACTTTTTACATATAACACCAAAGGCAAGATCCATGAGAGAAAAGATTGTAAGTTGGACTCCATTAAAATTAAAAACTTCTCTGTGTAGGACACGGTCAAAAGAATGAAAAGACCAAAACAAAACAAAGAAGAAAAAAAGAAGAAGAAAAGAAAAGAAAGAAAAGACGAGCCACAGAGCACAGATTGGGAGAAAATATTTACAAGACTTCCTTGCTAAAATACCGTTATTCAGAGCACAGAAAGAACTCTTAAAACTCAACAATGAGAAAACAAACAACCTTTTTTAAAACATGGGCCCAAGGCCTTAACAGACACCTCACCAAAGAAAATATACGAATGACAAATAAGCATATGAAAAGATCATATGTCATTGGGAAATGCAAAGTAAAAACAACAATGAGATACCACCACACGCTTATTAAAATACTCAAAATCCAGAACACTGACAACACCAAATTCTGGTGAAGATGTGAAGCAACAGGAACTCTTTTTCATTGTTGGTGAGAATATAAAATGGTACATCACTTTGGAAGACAGTTTGCAGTTTCTTTCTTTTTTTTTTTAATTTAAGTTTATTTTATTATGTTATGTTAGTCACCATACAATACATCATTAGTTTTTGATGTAGTGATCAATTGTTGATGTAGTGATTCATTGTTTTCGTATAACACCCCGTGCTCCATGCAGTACATGCCCTCCTTAATACCCATCACCGGGCTAACGCATTCCCCCTACCCCCCTCTCTCTAAAACCCTCAGTTTGTTTCTCGGAGTTTCTCATGGTTTGTCTCTCCCTCTGATTCCCCCCCTTCATTTTTCCCTTCCTTCTCCTAATGTCCTCCATGCTATTCCTTATGTTCCACAAATAAGTGAAACCATTAGATAATTGACTTTCTCTGCTTGACTTATTTCACTTAGTATAATTTCCTCCAGTCCCATCCATGTTGATGTAAAAGTTGGGTATTCATCCTTTCTGATG